CTACCACAAACTGAATTCTTAACTGTAGTCATTCAAAAGAAATCAAAGGGCATTTCTTACTGAAACTGGATTGGTAACATCACCTTGAAATATAAAGTATCACATCATGCTTTAAAAAAAAATAAAACATTTTCTGTCTCACAGAAGCCTGTACCTGCTTACCACCAGAGAAGGCTTTATAACTTACATGTTGCAAAGCTGGTTGTATAAAAACCATGTAAAGGAAAAATATTATTGTCTGTTCTTGCTTTTTCTTGAGTAAAAGTGAGAAGTGTAAAAAATGCTAAATATGGCCAGGTGCGATGGCTCACGCCTGTAATCCCAGCACTTTGGGAGGCCAAGGTGGGTGGATCACCTGAGGTCAGGAGTTTTGAGACCAGCCTGGCCAACATGGTGAAACTCCATCTCTGCTAAAAATTCAAAAAATTAGGCCGGGCGCGGTGGCTCAAGCCTGTAATCCCAGCACTTTGGGAGGCCGAGACGGGCGGATCACGAGGTCAGGAGATCGAGACCATCCTGGCTAATACGGTGAAACCCCGTCTCTACTAAAAATACAAAAAACTAGCCGGGCGAGGTGGCGGGCGCCTGTGGTCCCAGCTACTCGGGAGGCTGAGGCAGGAGAATGGTGGGAACCCGGGAGGCGGAGCTTGCAGTGAGCTGAGGTCCAGCCACTGCACTCCAGCCCGGCGACAGAGCAAGACTCCGTCTCAAAAAAAAAAAAAATTCAAAAAATTAGCTAGTCGTGGTGGCAGGCGCCTGTAATCCCAGCTACTTAGGAGGCTGTAGCAGGAGAATCACTTGAAACCAGGAGGTGGAGGTTGCAGTGAGCCGAAATCGTGCCATTGCACTCCAGCCTGGGCAACACAGCAAAACTCTGTCTCAAAAAAAAAAAAAAAAAAAAAAAAAGCTAAATACGATAGAGTATACAGAGCAACATCACTCACCTGTAGACCAGTAGGAGAATAGGTTAATTACCACATAAGGTTCATGGGTGCGCATAAAATAAAAAGGAAGAGAAGCAGCATTTAAATAGGTTCCAGGGTCAGGTGTGGTGGCTCACGCCTGTAATCCCAGTACTTTGGGAGGCCGAGGCGGGTGGATCACAAGGTCAGGAATTTAAGACCAGCCTGGCCAACATGGAGAAACCCCGTCTCTACTAAAAATACAAAAATTAGCCGGGCAGGCAGAGGTTGCAGTGATCCGAGATCGTGCCATTGCACTCCAGTCTGGGTGACAAGAGCAAGACTCCATCTCTAAATAAATAAATAATTTCCAAGCTTCACTCACAACAAGCAAATTTTCACATGTAAGATAGGATGGCACTCCTCTCTGGCTTCTCATAGAGATCCAGATGAATAAACCAAATCAAAAGTGGCAATTATTACATTAGACATTTTCCCTGTCCTAAAGATTACATTCTGATAGGTAGAAAAACAGTAAGCAACTAATTGGCCAATTACTTATGTAATTACCATTGTGATAAATGCTTTGAAGAGGAAGTACAGGATATTATTAGTTTATTACTTGCAGAAATGAGCTAGTCTGGCTAGATCACCTGAAGTCAGGAGTTTGAGACCAGCCTGGACAACATGGTAAAACCCCGTCTCTACTAAAAATACAAAAAATTAGCCAGGTGTGGTGGCATGCACCTGTAGTCTCAGCTACTCGGGAGGCTGAGGCAAGATGATCGCTTGAACCTGGGAGGCAGAAGTTGCAGTGAGCTGAGATTGAGCCATTGCATTCGAGCCTGGGCAACAGGGCAAGACTCTGTCTCAAAAAATAATTAATTAATTAAAAATTATTTAATGTATCTATTTCAATGCTTCCGCTTCCCCAACCCCCAAAGAACAAACATTTATCATTTTTCTTTCTGATTCAGAAGTTCCCACTGCCTTTTCTTTACAGCCCTCCAGTATTCTTATGTGGGTGAAATCAAACCAAAATGAATACAAGTAGAGACATTGAGGGGAAAAATAATGAACAAATATGCACTGTGTAGCCTGAGCATATGTGGACATGGGGGTGGATTCAAGGGCAGCCGTATCTGTTTCTCAAGCTGGTGAAGGTCATGGGCTGAATGTGTGTGCAAGAGCCTCAGGTTCTTTTAGCACCAGCTATTAAAGGTTTGTAGAATCCCAAGCAACCAGGGGCCAGCTGTGAATCCCACCTGGTATATAATGCCTTTGTGCTAGCACTTCACTGGGCCCTAGAAGACGGAACTCATGCCCTTAGCCTTTGAAGACTATAGATAACATATTATCTGTTGGGCAGGCAGTGGGCTGGGATTAGGGGTCTTGCCTCTGCTGAAGTCTTAAGTTTGCATGTTTTCTGTTGTTGATAACAGGTAGAGAATCCAACTCAGTTGTTTCCTGAGGTAGCTGCAGATATGCTTTCTTTACTCTTCCCAAGCTAATCCGGAACTGTGGGTTCTACTCAGAGGCCTGTGTTTCCACACTATTTATAGGCCATAAGATCCTCCCTAGTGGGATCAGGATAACATTTTCCTAGCTTGGGAAAGGCTCACATCCCTATTTTGTTGCCAGCTCTGATGCCAATCTAATAATTTTTAATTACCTGCGGCACCATGGCAAACACACCTTGTACTCTATATCACAAACACATATCCAATATATCCATGTTCTTTGCAAACCAAGAGCTTCAAACCACAAGCCATATTCTGTTTTCTAATATTAAGTAGCATAAACAGACAGAATGTTATGAACCGACCTCTATCATTCCCAAAGAAAGGACTGCTGGAGCTGCTAACATCGGCACAAGAAAGAATAACACTTTGTTGGTAAAAGTAGTATCCGCCCCTAAAAATGGTTAGTGGTCTGGAAAAACCCATGATATGGATTATTGCCAGGGCTGTGGGACATCTGAAGCTGTCTTTGAGATTACCAGTCTAGACCAAATCACATCTTAAATGCTTCCTGTGTGTGCTTCTACCTGCCACCATTTTTATACAGGTGAAATCAGATTTTAAAAGATCAAAAAAAAAAAAAAAAAAAAGGGGGGGAATGTACAGATTAGGGAATGTGTGCATATTTTTGCAATGGTGGTGGGATTGGCAATTTCATTGTTATTTCCATGTGATTGTCAGGGAATGTGGTGGTGGTGGCTAGGCGTTAACTCTACAATAGCCTCTGATCTTTTTTAGCTGTAGTGTCTTACCTATTTACTTTGCACGGTATTCAACTCCTACAAAGTAAACTAAGAGTTTAAAGCAAAAACTGGTTTACCAGAATTCCTACTGCAGGAGTTAAAGATAATTTTTTTTTTTTTTTTTCTTCTGAGATGGAGTTTCGCTCTTCTGGCCAGGCTAGAATGAAGTGGTGCAACCTCAGCTCACTGCAACTTCTGCTCCCCAGGTTCAATGATTCTCCTCCCTCAGCCTCCCGAGCAGCTGGGATTGTGTAGGAGCCCACCACCACACCTGGCTAATTTTTGTGTTTTTAGTAGAAACGGGGTTTCGCCATGTTGGCAAGGCTGGTTTCAAACTCCTGACCTCAAGTGATCCGCCCACCTTGGCCTCCCAAAGTGCTGGGATTATAGGCATGAGCCACCGTGCCTGGTCTAAAGGGAATATTCAAGAGAAATTAATTGCAGGCCAGGTCGGGTGGCTCACGTCTGCAATCCCAGCACTTTGGGAGGCCAAGGCGGGTGGATCACCTGAGATCAGGAGTTCGAGATCAGCATGGCCAATATGGTGAAACCCTGTTTCTGCTAAAAATACAAAAATTAGTGGGGCATGGTGGCAGGTGCCTGTAATCCCGGCTACTTGAGAGGCTGAGGAAGAATTGCTTGAACCCAGGAGTCTGAGGTTGCAATGAGCCGGGATTGTGCCACTGTACTCCAGCCTGGGTGACAGAGTGGCTCTGGTCTTAAAAAAAAAAAAAATAATAATAATTGCAAGAAACCATGAGGTTGTGACTTCTTTTTTTTTTTTTGAGGAGTCTTGCTCTGTCACCAGGCTGGAGTGCAGTGACACGATCTCGGCTCACTGCAACCTCCACCTCCCGGGTTCAAGCAATTCCCCTGCCTCAGCCTTCCCAGTAGCTGGGATTACAGGTGCGCACCACCATGCCCAGCTAATTTTTTGTATTTTAGTAGAGACAGCATTTCACATGTTGGCCAGGATGGGAGGTTGTGACTTTTTTGGTCTCCATCCCCATGTATGATTGAAGAATTGTTGCTGAAATGCTAGCCTTACTTATGTGTCCTCTCCATCTTTGCTTCTCTGCAGGTCAAAAATAATTAAAATTGAACAAGACTTGGAAGCAAGAGATTTTCACAGACCTCACGCTCTTACTCTTTCCCCCGACTGTGGCTCCTTAATCTAAAATGGTTCTAAGCTCCAATTTTTGATCCCAGGAGTACAATATTCACAATTGGGATATGCTAGTTGGCGGGGAAGCCTGGCATTCTCTGGGACCAGTGGGACCTTGCAAATGTGCTAAAGTGAGTGCATATCTGCACCAGAGTCTGGTGACACCTAGTGCTCTTCAATTTCATAGTAAAAGCCCTAGTCTGGGCTGGAAGATAACCAGGTTTCAGGCAAGCGGCAGCTGGCAGACCCCTAACTTTTTGATTTCCCAACAGGGTGACTTTGCTTGGCTTACCAAAGGGAAAAGATGTCTAAAAAGCATTTGAGTCTAAGTAGACAATTGGGTGTGCAATATATAAGCTAAAAACAAATTTATCTCACCAAACATAATCTTCTATTTTTAGTTGCCTGACAATAAAGTATGTTCATACTCTAAATTTCTATAGTTTGTAATAACTTTATGATAGAGAATACAGTAACAAGAATCATATCCACCAGGAATCACTGCCACAGAGAAAGGGATGTTTGGGACATTTGTAAAATGAGGTGGTTTACTGTTTTTCATCTTCTGTAAGCTTGAAATTGACTTAAATCTTCCAAAAAGGTTACTGTCTTCACAGCTGACACTCATTTAGAAGGTGCTTTTAATTAAAAAAAAGACAAAGTGAGCCTATATTTGTAAACATTTATTCTCTTGAACTGAAAAAGGCTTGCATCAGCACACATTGTACAGCCTTGCAAATTACACAGAAATTGAAAAGAAGGTTCCTTGTTCATAAGTGCAATGAATCTTTGATGTCCAGTGATCCGCTGCAAACAATGAAAACAAACTGTAAAGCACTTAAGAAGTTTCCAGCACTCATCAAATGCATTTCCTTAGGTGACAAAAAATCCACAAGGAGGGGAATGCAAATAAGTGGCATTTAGTTATTAGAGAGATACTTGAAAAAAAAAAAAATGGAAGTATTTTCCTGCTTAGAATGATTTCTGTTCCCCTCTGAATGTAAGTGGTTTAAGAGGCATTAAGAACATAATTTATTTTATACTTAATGTTCACACTACCTAAATGAATAAGGAAAGGGTCCTACAGGGAAGAGTTATGTATTTTTTGGCAATTGTTTCTGAGTTTAGAGATTCGGGGGAAGAGTAATCCTCTATTTGTGGGCTCTTCTTAGCATCCCTAACCCCCAAGGAGATAGTACATGGTTTTGACTTGGTTATTTCACTCCTGCATTCTTTTTCCCCCAAATTTTAAGTTGGGTCACATTGTGCTGGCTGCAAAAAGAAATACAGGTTGCAACTGGTTATAATCATTTTGAAGAATAATTTGCTGTACAATAGAGCTTTGGATCTGATACAAGAATTTAGAAATATAAAACAAAATAACTATAAAAGTTAGGAGGCATTTGAACGGCATTTCCTTAGAAAAACCTGCTAACTCTGTATCATTCTGACGTGGATTCCTACAGTCATGTGGGGTGAAATGCATATATTTTCCCCCTTTGCTGGATCACTGGCCTTTCTTCAAAAGCTATAACGCCATGAACACACATCCTAGGAGTCTCTATAATGTTAACAGAAGCTCCAAACACCAAGCCAATCAAAGATGGGAGAGGGCAGGGGAACCATAAAGGCGAAGGGTCCAAAGGTGGCTGTTACTGAGAACTTGCCCTTTCCAAAATGTGAAAGTCATAGTGCTTCTTGCTTGTTCTCAGCTTAAACTTGTTAACTGAGTTAATTTGTTTCTTCAATGCATTCTGTGCAGCTGAAATGGAGGGGAATGTGGCTAAGACGGTGTAGGTGGAGGCCAAGTCACTGGGTTTAGAGCGTTCAGGGTTGACAGTGTTGTCCCCGCTGCCACAGCAGAGGGGGTGACGACGTGGTTGCGACTGGGGGTCCCGGAGCCACCGGATCTTGGCGCCAATTTTAAAGAGTTCCCCAAAAAGCTTTTCAGCTTCCATGCGAGTTATTCCATCTGGTAGTTCAGTAATTTCCAAGACCTTCCCAACAACTAGAATAGAAAAGGTACAGAAGTAACACATCCCTGTTACCAAAAAAGTTGGGTAAAAAAGCACTGCAGACTCAAATATGACATGGGAAATGACCATGCGAATACACAAAATTAAAACTTTTAGGGCTATCTGTTTTTTTTTGTGGGAGATGGAGTCTTACTCTGTTGCCCAGGCTGGAGTGCAGTGGTGTGATCTCGGCTCACTGCAACCTCCACCTCGCAGGTTCAAACGATTCTCCTGCCTCAGCCTCCCAAGTAGCTGGGATTACAGGCGCCCGCCACCATGCTCAGCTAATTTTTTGTGTTTTCCGTAGAGACGGATGGGGTTTCACCATGTTGGCCAGGCTGGTCTCGGACTCCTGAGCTCAGGCAATCCACCTACCTCAGCCTCCCAAAGTGCTGGGATTACAGGCATGAGGCAGTGCACCCGGCCAGGGACATCCATCTTTTTTTTTTTTTTTTTTTTTTTTTTGAGACGGAGTCTCGCTCTGCCGCCCAGGCTGGAGTGCAGTGGCCGGATCTCAGCTCACTGCAAGCTCCGCCTCCCGGGTTCACGCCATTCTCCTGCCTCAGCCTCCCGAGTAGTTGGGACTACAGGCGCCCGCCACCGCGCCCGGCTAGTTTTTTGTATTTTTTAGTAGAGACGGGGTTTCACCGTGTTAGCCAGGATGGTCTCGATCTCCTGACCTCGTGATCCGCCCGTCTCGGCCTCCCAAAGTGCTGGGATTACAGGCTTGAGCCACCGCGCCCGGCCGACATCCATCTTTTAAATCATTCCTACTTACCCGGTAGGCAAGGGGTAGAGAGCTAACAGTGTTAAAGCTACTGAGCTGGGTGTGCCTGTAATCCTAGCACTTTAGGAGGCTGATGTGGGCGGATCACCTGAGGTCTGGAGTTTGAGACCAGCCTGACCAACATGGTGAAACCCCGTCTGTAATAAAAACACAAAAAATTAGCCGGGCGTGGTTGTGGGCGACTGTAATCCCAGCTATTCAGAGGCTGAGGCAGGAGAATGCTTGAACCTGGGAGGTAGAGGTTGCAGTGAGCTGAGACCATACCACTGTGCTCCAGCATGGGCAACAAGAATGAAACTCCATCTCAAAAATAATAAATAAATAAAGTAAAATTAAGCTACTGATGTCAGTCTTTACTGGTAGTTGCACAAATAAAAAGAAGCATTGTATGGTGGCTTCTCTAAATTAGGTGATCTCAAACATTTTTCTGAACTTCACATTTCCATTGTAAAATAAAATAAAAGCACTTGCCCTAACCACACCACAAGGCTGCTGAGTAGAAAGTTAAAGTACAAACTTGAAGGCACTTTACCACAGAGAGGCAATATATTTGTTCACTCAGACTCTCTCCCACATGGATCTAAGGACAAACCCTTTCTCAAAGAACTAAGAGGCTAAGAGTTTCACTCTACTTGTTCCTCTCACACATTTCTCTTTGGCCCCTCTGTCCCTCCTAAACCTACCTGCATCTTACCATATATACTCTCATATCTCAAATGACACAGGGTCATAGGAATATATCCAAGAATCCTGAATCAGAGACGGCAACAATTACTATGACTTTTTGCAGGATTCTAGGAAGAGGAAAACCCATTTCTGTGCTGTGGTGTATTCTTAAAGACTGTCACCGGTTTGTAGACCCATATCCAGTTGCCCCTCAGAGACATACCTGTTTCTCCTGCTCCAAGGTCGGTGGATGCAGCTTTTTTAGCTTGTCTCCTTCCTCGGTTTCCATGCCTGCTGCCAGGCTGACCCTGAAAACCCAAAAATAGTTGAGAAACAAGGTTAATAATGCTGAAAAACACACTTTGGATGTTTAAAAACTTAACACCCAAACACCTTTAGTTTGGGTTTTGCACTCTGGCAGAAGAAAATCAGTCCCAGGCCTTCTGAATTCTGCCTCTGTGGCAGTGACATTCCTGTCCATTATGACCAATTCCTAGCCACTGCCTTGTCTTTGGGTGGCACTAGGGAATTACTGTTCTGCCAAGCAGCATGCCGTCTTCTCCCTTGCTCTGCTCCTGATGGAGCCAGTGATAATCTGTGTAAATCAACTGGCCGAGGCACAGAGCTCTCCTTGGGCAGTGCCAACAGGTGGGCTCAGGGTTGCCCCTTACACTCTGAGGGAGCTATGATGTTCTGCAACAAAGTCTAGGAGGTTAGTTGTCTTTTATACCTGTTGGTTTGGAATGTGTCCGTGCAGAACAGCAGGAGGGTTGTACTGCAGCGGCTGGCCAAGTAATGGATACCTGGAATCTCCTGAAAGTCAATAAAATATATTTACATTTTTTCTTTCCTCAGTTAAAAAATGCTTGCCAGACGCTGGCACGGTGGTTCATGCCTGTAATCCTAGCACTTTGGGAGGCTGAGGCAGGTGGATTACTTAAGGCCAGGAAGAGTTCGAAACCAGCCTGGCCAACATGGTGAAACCCCATCTCTAATAAAAATACAAAAATTAGCCTGGGGCGTGCTGGTAGACGCCTATAATTCCAGCTACTCAGGAGGCTGAGGCATGAGAACTGCTTGAACTTGGGAGGTAGAGGTTGCAGTGAGCCGAGATGGTGCCACTATATTCCAGCCTGGGTGACGGAGTGACTGTCTCAAAAAAAAAAAATAAATAAATAAATAAAAATAAAAATAAAAATAAAAAAGTACTTGCCAGAGTTTTCTAATTGTTCAAAATAAGATGAACAGGGGAAAGAAACAAGTATGGTAGCATAAAAAAAGTATAGATAACTGACATTTTTCTTTTGGAGACAGGGTACTGCTCTGTCGACAACCCAGGCTGGAGTACAGTGGTACAATCATAGCTCACTGCAGCCTTGAACTCCTGGGTTCAAGTGATCCTCCTGCCTCAGCTTCACAAGTAGCTGGGACTATAAGCACAAACTACCACACCTGGCTAATTTTATTTTAGGAGAGAGAGATTCTCACTATGTTGACCAGGCAGGTCTCAAACTCCTGCCCTCCAGCAATCCTTCCACCTCATGAGTTGCTGGGATTACAGGTACAATCCACCATGCTTGGCTAAATGACATTTTAAACAAGAATTAAAAATTTCCACATATCCTTTTAAGAGCCCAGGCAAAATTCTGAAAAGATTAAGGACTAATAACAGTGGTTAGGAAGCAGGGTGCATGGTAGGAACTACATGAATAGAGATAGGATGGAGAGAAACTTCTCTGTACACTTTGAAGATATGGAAGAGGAAGAATCTAAGAAAACTATGACACTAAATCCTAACATCCCATATGAAATACACCAAAATAACTACAACACACATGCCAATCACTTGAGGTGCTGAAATCTACATCATTCTATTATGATTAAAATCTTACCTTTCAGAGGAAGGAACTCTGGATAAACATTAAGTCTTTATCTCCCCCAATTCACTATTAATTGCTATAAATTTATGCATATAATATATGCATGTACACATTTACATATACTCAAACAAACTTTAATAGTTTTAACCAACGGGTAATTGTACATCCTAGGTCTTAAGTCTGCTCTTCTTAATCTTTAAGTGAAATTTGCATTTATAATTTGAACCTGTTTAGAAAAAGTTGTGTAGTTCTTAAGTGTCATTATTCATAAGTATCCCCTTCCTAAATCAGTAAGTGTGGGTTAGTGAGGATGGAGATCTTCCAATTGCTTTCTTTCACTCAGGAAAGCCAAAAGTCATCACACAGCAAAGGCTTAATAACTGCTGACTGCAAAAACTTTGCCTTGGAGAGTAAGATTTTTGTGTTAAATTTTCATTTATTTTATAATCATAAGTTCTCAAATTTAGTACATTTTGTGTTTGGAGGAGGGTTATCAGTAGGTGCTAGGAAAGCATCCTCAGGAAATTGTGCACCCTTTCTCCTGAGAGCTTCATAACAGAAAGAAGCAAGGTGTGGACTTCTTGCCATTCCACAGGGCTCCTTCCGGGTGAACACAGTGAAGATGCCTGGGCAGCTCCCTGGCAGGACACATGCATGACACACTCGCTCTTTCCCAACCTATAGATGGAAGGGCAGGTATGACATGGGGTTTTGATACTGAGATCAGAGATGCCAAGTGACATGTGAAGGTGTATAAAAAATAGTTGTGAAGGCCAGGCGCAGTGACTCATGCCTGTAATCCTAGCACTTTGGGAGGACGAGACGGGTGGATCATGAGGTCAGAGTTCGAGATCAGCCTGGCCAACATGGTGAAACCCCGTCTCTACCAAAAACACAAAAAATTAGCTGGGCATGGTGGTGCGTGCCTGTAATCCCATCTACTTGGGAGGCTGAGGCAGGAGAATAGCTTGAACGTGGGAGGTGGAGGTTGCAGTGAGCCAAGATTGCATCATTGCACTCCAGCCTGGGCAACAGGGTGAGACTCCGTCTCAAAAAAAAAAAAAAAAAGAAAAAAGAAAATAGTTGTGAAGAAGTCAGAGTTAAGTGCTACAATAATGAAATTAAAAAAATTTAATGAGGCTCAAAAACTTAGCATTAACAGAATAGCTATTTAATGCTGATAGCATTAACAGAGAAAGCTGTGTAAAAATTCTGGAATCCCCTAGATAAAGACACCTAAAATTTTTCAACAAAAGATAAAAACCTTTTAATTCTATAGAATTTCAAGTATATAAAAGTATAGATAGAAAAGCATAATGTACCCGCCATCATCCAGGTTCAACTGTGATCGCCCCTGCTTTGTTTTTCCTGAAGTATTTAAAGCAAATCTCAGTATTTTACTTGTAAATATTTCAGTATACAAATATTTATATCTAATGGATAACTCCTTTTTTTTTTTTTGAGACAGAGTCTGTCTGTGTCACCCAGGCTGGAGTGCAGTGGCACCAACTTGGCTCACTGCAACCTCTGCCTCCCAGGTTCAAGTGATTCTCCTGCCTCAGCCTCCCGAGTAGCTGGGATTACAGGTGCCCACCACCACGCCCAGCTAATTTTTTTCATATATGGAGATAAGATTACAGTCAGCAGTACAAAGACCCCTCCTAATAGGTTGGGCTAGGTGTTCCTCTTGCAGCATTCATACCAGACTGTATGATGCATACTGTTTCAATTTATCTTTTTAAAATATGCAATTTCTAAATTAATTAATTGATTAATTAATTTATTTAGAGATGGAGTCTTTCTCTGCCACCCAGGCTGGAGTGCAATGGCACGATCTTGGCTCACTGCAACCTCCACTTCCAGGGTTTAAGCGTAGCTGGGATTACAGGAACGCGCTACCATGCCCGACTAATTTTTTTTGTATTTTTAATAGAGATGGGGTTTCACCATGTTTCAGGCTGGTCTCAAACTCCTGACCTCATGGCTCCACCCATCTCAGCCTCCCAAAGTGCTGGGTTTACAGGGGTGAGCCACCGCGCCTAGCCTTTTTTCTAAATTTAATAAGGAAATTGTTTTGTAGAAAATTTGGAGATAGAGAATTACAAAGGAGAAAATAAAAACGATCCCGGGGCTGGGTGTGGTGGCTGACATTTGTAATCTCAGCACTTTGGGAGGCCAAGGTGGGGAGACTGCTTGAGCCAAGGAGTTCAAGACTAGCCTGGGCAACATGGTGAAACCCTGTCTCTACCGAAAATACAAAAATTAGCCAGGTGTGGTGGCGTGCCTGTAAGCCCAGTTACTCAGGAGGTTGAGGTGGGAGGATCATCTGAGCCCGGGGAGGTCAAGGCTGCAGTGAGCCACAAGTGCACCACTGCACTGCAGCCGGGGCGATGGAGCAAGACAGTGTCTCAAACAAGCAACAACAAACAAACTAACAACAACAAAACCCACCCTGGTAATTCCACCACTTTTAACATTTTGGTGTATATCTTTTCAGTCTTCTACATGTGTGGGCTGACTCATGCATATGTGTGTGTGTAAGGTTTTAAGGAAATTGAGATATAATTAACATACAATAAAACAAACATTCCAAGTGTTGAATTTGATGAATTCTAACAATTGTAAAAGTCCGTGTAACCATACCATCCCCCTTAAAGAACATTTTCATCCCTCGAAGAGTTCCCTCCAGCCCGCTTCCCAGTCAGTTCCACACTCCATCTCTACTACTATCTGATTTTTAACGTCACAGATTAGTTTGTCTGCAGCTGAATTTCATATAGAATATGTTCTCTTTTTGTCTTATTTTTTCGTTAACATCGTGACCCGGAGAGTCATCGTGTTGTTGTGTGTCAGTAGCTTGCTTTGTTCACTGTTATTGTTGAGTAGTACCCTTTTAAGGATGTAGCACAATTTGTTTATCCAGTCTCCTGTTGATGGACATGTTGGTCATGTCCAGTTTGAGCTATTATAAAATAAGGTTGCTATAGATGTTCGTATACAAGACTGTGTGACCATGTTTTCAATTCTCTTTCCCCTAGGAGTGGCATTGCTGGGTTGTATGGTAAGTGATTAAAGTCTTAGGAAACTACCATACCTTTTCCCAAAGCGGTTTCATTATTGTACACTCTTACCGCCAATGTGTGAGAATTTTAGTAGCTCTGTGTCTTTACCAACATGTTTGTTAAATATTCACAGGTGGATTTTGCATGCTGTGGGGGTTTGGTGTACTTATTATTTTGTCACCCAGGTAATAAGCACAGTACACAATAGGTACTTTTCAATCCTCACCCTTCCCCCTCAAGTAGGCCCAAGTGTCTATTGTTCCCTTCTTAGTGTCCATCAATGTTTAGCTCCCACTTACAAGTGAAAACATTCTTCTTTTTTTTTTTTTTTTTGAGATGGAGCGTCAATCTTGTCACCCAGGCTGCACTGCAGTGGTGCGATCTTGGCTGACTGCAACCTCTGCCTCCCGGGTTCAAGCAATTCTCCTGCCTTAGCCTCTCAAGTAGCTGGGATTACAGGCATGTGCCACCATGCCCGGCTAATTTCTGTATTTTTAGTAGAGATGGGATTTCACTATGTTGGCTAGGTTGGTCTTGAACTCCTGACCTCAAGTGATCTACATACCTCAGCCTCCCAAAGTGCTGAGGCGTGAGCCACCATGCCTGGCAAGTGAGAACATTCTTTACCAACATTTGGTTTTGTCCGTCTTTTTGATTATAGCCATTCTAATGGGTGTGAAGTGATATTCTGGCTTGAATATTCATTTCTATAATGACTGATGTTAAATATCTTTTCAATGGCTTATTAGACATCTGCATATTACTTCAAAATGTCTGTGTAACTTGTTTTTCAAAATCACTCACCATATTGTGAATATTGCTCCCCCCGGCCTTTTTTTTTTTTTGAGACAGAGCCTCTCTCTGTTGCCCAGGCTAGAGTGCAATGGCACGATCTCGGCTCACTGCAGCCTCTGCCGCCCAGGTTCAAGCGATTCTCCTGCTTCAGCCTCCCAAGTAGCTGGGATTATAGGTGCCTGCCACCGCGTCCAGCTCATTTTTGTAGTTTTAGTAGAGACGGGGTTTCACTATCTTGGCCAGGCTGGTCTTGAACTCCTAACCTTGTGATCCACCTGCCTTGGCCTCCGAAAGTGCTGGGATTATGGGTGTGAGCCACCGTCCCTAGCCTGAAAATTGCCCCTTCTTAATGGTTCTTTAGATAGTTACATAATATTCCTTGTATGAATATACCATAATTTAAGTATTCCTCATTGATCAACAGAGTTAAGTTGTTTGTAAATTTTTTTCCTATAGGATAAACTCTTCTGTATATAAATCTCTGTGTGCATTATCCTTAGGATAAATTCTAGGAAATAAAATGATTTCCATATTAGTTTATAATCATCTGCTTGCATATCTGCTCCCGCAAGTAGAGTAAGGGTTAGTGAGGGTAAGGCCTTCTCCTTATTCATCTTTATACGCCAAGGGCATAGCCATTTCCTTAATAAATGATTGCTGAATAAATTTTTGTATAATCTTTTTTCTGTTTTATTTTTGAGACAGAGTCTTGCTCTGCTGTCCATGCTGGAATGCAGTGGCATAATCAGGGCTCACAAAGTCTTGAATTCCTGGCCTGATCCTCCCGCTTCAGCCTCCTGAGTAGCTGTGACTACAGTTATGTGCCACCACTTCTGGCTGATTTTCGTAGTTTCTCTAGAGACAGGGTCTTGAGTGGCCTCAAGTGATCCTTCTGCACTGGCCTCCCAAAGTGCTGGGGTTACAGGTGTACGCCATTGCGCCCGGCCTGGATAAACTTTTGATATATATTACTCTAACACAGAAATTAAAATACCGAAAAAAATGTAGAAAACTGTGTATTATTACTATAGAGGAATGGATTCTAAGGATAAGTTAAAGCGATTTTAATGTGATCATGTAATTACTAAATATAAGTAATTACTGAATTAATAATTATTAAACAGCAATGATACATTAAGGTTAGGAGAGTATATGGTCACAAATAGACATGCCTGAGTGTAGGTGGAGATGCAGCTCTGTGGAAAATAGAAAGGCAGTATTACCAAGATAAATTACCAAGTGACTGGGAATGGATGTCTTAAATTCTCTGAAGTTGTGACTAGTTTCATGTACACTTACCTTGCCCGGGGACAAAAGGTCTAGAAAATTGGGGCATGATGGAAAGTGGTGGTCCAGAAGGACGTACAGTTTTCAGAGTGGATAGCTGAGCTGGTGCTGGCGACTGAGCTGGTGAAATAATGGGGCTACTGAGTTGAGGGCTGTGCTGCAATTACAATATGTCAAGAAAATGGGTCAGCATTTTGGGCAGGCTTATTTTTTATTCTTCCTGATTACAAACATGTCCTTGTTAGAAAATAATTCAAACATTATAGAAATATGTAATCTGCAACTCCCAAAAATAAACACTGGTAACAGATTCTTTTTTTTTTTTCTTCCTTTTTTTTTGTTTTGAGACGGAGTCTCACTCTGTTGCCCAGGCTGGAGTGCAGTGGTGCGATCTCGGCTCACTGCAAGCTCTGCCTCCCAGGTTTACACCATTTTCCTGCCTCAGCCTCCTGAGCCTCTTGCCTCAGTCCCAGCCTGTAGCTGGGACTACAGGTGCCCGCCACCACACCTGGCTAATGTTTTTTTTTTGTATTTTTAATAGAGATGGGGTTTCACCGTGTTAGCCAGGATGGTCTTTATCTCCTGACCTCGTGATCTGCCTGACTCGGCCTCCCAAAGTGCTGGGATTACAGGCGTGAGCCACTGCGCCTGGCCAACAGATTGTTTCTATGCATATGCATTCATACATTCATTTTTCACAAAAATGGGAACAGACTATACATCCTACTTTCGAAACTTACTTTTTAACCTGGGCAATAATATTGCCGATATTTTTGCATGACAGAATACATACAGCTAACTCACTCTGTTTTCATATTAAATATTGTAACATTTCATGTTTAAATAATTTCATCATTAGAGAACAGTTCCTAAGATTGTAAAAGAATTCCCAGATTTCCCAAATGATGTTAACTTTTATTACACTGCTTTCTCTGTGTGTGTGTGTGTGTATACACACCCACATACACACATATATATCACTGTGTCTTTTTGGAACTGTTTGAAAGTGAATTTCACATGATATTCCTTTAACCCAAAATAATTAGTGTCTATTTCCCAAGAACAAGGACTTTTAAAATATAATCAAAATAGAATAATAAAAGCCAGAACATTAACAATAGTATTATCTAATCTACAGTTAATTTAAATTTTGCCAAGTGTCCCACTAATGTCCCTTATAGCAAAAGATAAGAAAAATGTTTCCCTTTAAGTCCAGAATCCAGACTAGAATCAAGGGCTGCGTTGTCATGGCTCTTTAATCTTCTTGAATCTGAAGCAGAATACCACAGTCTCTTCTTTCTTTCATGACTTTGACATTTCTGAAGATTTGTTTCGGAAGATCAGTTATTTTGTAGACTGACTGTCCCTCAATTTGGGTTTGTCTGCTGTCTCCTCATTAAAAAGTTCATGTTATATATTTGCGGAAGGAACACCAGAGAAGTAATGTGTCCTTCTCAATGGATCATTTCAGAAGGAACCCACAGTCTATCTGTCATCACAGTACAGGTGATATTTACTTCGGCTGCTTTGTGAATGTGGTGCCTATCAGGTTTCTCCACTGTAAGTGACAATTCTTTTAATTTGTAGTTCTAAGTATTTTGTAGGGAGATACTTAAAAAAAAATTCTGCTTTTCATCAGAATTTCACCCACTAGTTGTGTAACCTCTAGTGGTGACTCTTGCCTGATGGTTTCTTGGTGGTGATCTTCTAATTTCACGATTCCTTCTATATTTATCACTTTACATTACACTAAGGTAAGACAGAGTTTCATTTTCCATTTATTGATTTTATCAGTATGGACTCATGAATTCTTATTTTATTCTATGGATGATCATTCATTTCTATCACTGTTTTATGCCCCAAACCTCCACTCCTGATCCTGTATTCTTCAACATGTCCCTATTTTTCTTCCATCCCTTCCTTACTTTCTGGCACAGCCAAGATGGCCTATGCCCATCTGGTGCTTTCCCTACACCAACTCTGGCAGCAGTTATTTTTCTAAGGGGCCCAAGTTCCTTTTAATGGAGACTGGTTATTTAGAAACTACCATCTCAATAGTAGGTGTAACTTGTTCTTTTCAGTACCACACACTCAAGGGCATTTTCCTAAATTGCAAAGGAATAATCAGTTACACACTGATGAATGTCAAGACTGTTTACAGTTTTTCAATATTACAACAAGGAAAAAAGAAATATTGGACACATATTTTTGCACTTATTATATAATTTTTACTGGATAAAGTTCCAGAAGCATATCTGTGGATCAAATTCTACATTTTGAAAAATGTCTCCGAAGTGCATTTCAAAGAGCTGTACCAATTTACACTACCACAGAGAAAGTCCAAGAGAGCTTATAATTTGATCTTTGCCAAACTATTACTATGGCAGATTACTGGTCTTCCTGAATTTTCCCACTTATATAGATGAAAAGTAGTTTTATATTTTCATCTGTTTAATGGCCATCGATAGTTTGTGAGCTGATCTATAATAACCTTTGTCCCCCAGTTTTTTTTTTTTTTTTTGAGACAGGGTCTCACTCTGTCACCTAGGCTGGAATACGGTAGTGTGATCACAGTTCACTGCAGCCTCTACCACTCAGGGTCAAGTAATCCTCTTGCTTCAGCCTCCCGAGTAGCTAGAATTACAGGTGTACACCACCACACCTGGCTAATTTTTAATTTTTTTACAGAGATGGGATCTCACTATGTTGTTTGTCCAGGCTGCTCTTGAATTCCTGGACTCAAGTGATCCTTTCTCCTTGGCCTCCCAAAGTGCTGGGATTACAGGTGTGAGCCACTATGCCCAACCTCTATCTTTTAAAAAAAGTTAAAACCTGGCTGGGTAAAGCGGCTCAAGGCTATAATCCCAACACTTTGGGAGGCTGAGCCAGGTGGACCACTTGAGTTCAGGAGTTCAAGACCAGCCTGGGCAACATGGCAATAACCTGTCTCTACAAAAAATACAAAAAAAAAAAAAAAATTAGTTGGGCATGGTGGTGTGCATCAGTGGTCTCAGCTACTCAAGTGGCTGAGGTGGGAGGACGGCTTGAGCCCAGGAGATGGAAGTTGCAGTAGGCCCAGAACATGTCACTGTACTCCAGCCTAGGTAACAGAGCCAGACCCTGTCTCTAAATGAAAAATTAGCTGGGTGTGGTGTGTACCTGTAGTCCCAGCTACTTGGGAAGCTAAGGTGAAAACACTGCTTGAGCCCAGGTGGTTGAGGCTGCAGTAAGTCATGATTGTGCAAACGCAATCCAGCCTGGATGTCAGAATGTAACCTTGTCTCGACAAAAGATAAAACCTTTTAATTCTATAAAATTTCAAGTATATAAAAGTATAGATAGAAAAGCATAATGAAATTCCATGTACCCATCATTCAGGTCCAACTGTCATCACCCCTGCTTTGTTTTTCCTGAAGTATTTAAAGCAAATCTCAGCATTTTACTTGTAAATACTTCAGTATACAAACATTTGTATCTAATGGACAACTTTTTTTTTTTTTTTTTTAAATTTTAGACAGCGTCTCGCTCTGTTACCCAGGCTGGAGTGCAATGGCATGATCTCGGAACACCACAACCTCCGCCTCCCGGGTTCAAGCGATTCTCCTGCCTCAGCTTCCTGAGTAGCTGGGATTACAGGCCCACCACCATGTCCAGCTAAGCTTTGTATTTTTAGTAGAGATGGGGTTTCTCCATGTTGGCCAGGCTGGTCTCAAACTCCTGACCTCAGGTGATCTGCCCGCCTTGGCCTCCCAAAGTGCTGGGATTACAGGCGTGAGCCACTGTGGCTGGGTCTTTTTTTTTTTTTTTAAGAGTTAGGGTCTCCCTCTGTTGCTGGGGGGAGTGCAGTGGCATGATCATAGCTCACTGCAGCCTTGAACTCTTGAGCTAAAGCAATCTTGCCTCAGCCTCCTGAGTGGCTGGGACTACAGGTGCACACTGCCATGGCTGAATACTTTTTGTATTTTTCATAGAGATGGGGTTTCACCATGTCACCCACCCTGGTCTCGAACTCCTGTGTTCCAGGCCTGCTTTAGCTTCCCAAAGTGCCGGGATTACAGGCATAAGCCACCCGGCCCGGCCTTAAAAAATATCTTTGGATCATTCCATATCCAAATAAGATCCATATATTACATCTGATATTATACCTCTTGAGTCTCTTTTAATGTATAACAGACCAAACTCCTATTTCAAAATGCCATCTATTAAAGTAACAGGGCCAATTTGTCAAGTAAAATACCCCACTGGGATCAGGTAATTTGTTTTTGTTTCTTATATTTACCATAAACTAGTAGCTAGGGTTAGAGGCTTCAATAGATTCAGGTTCAAATTTTGGTAAGAGTATATCATAAATAATGCTGTGTACTTCCTTCTGTGCCACATTACGAGGTAAATAATGTTTGGCTGGCCCACTTTTGGTGATGTTACAACTGATCAGTGGATTCAGGGCTGTCTGTCTAATTCATCCATTTAAAATACCCCTCAAAACTTTTTTTTAAGTGAGCAGTTTCTCAACCAAAACTTTTTAATCCAATATTTTTAGGGTCTGCTGATGATTTTCTGGCAATTTTCTAATTCTACCATTGCTTCTGCATTTATTAACTGGATTATTCTCCAGAGAAAATTCCCTTATCAACTATTTGGTTACATTAATATATAGTCATATGGGAAAGGTAGGCTAAATGCTTGTTTTCCTTTACCAAATTTTAGATCTAGTTTATCTTCTGAAGTTAAAAAAAATTTTTTTGAACACGCAGAAGTTAGCAAATAATACTTAAATAAATACTGATTCTTTTTCTTCTTCTTCTTCTTCCTTTTTTTTTGAGACACAGTTACACTCTTAGTTGCCCAGGATGGAGAGCAATGGCATGATCTTTGCTCACTATAACCTCTGCCCCGCTGGGTTCAAGTGATTCTCCTCCCTCAGCCCCCCAAGTAGCTGGGATGCATGCTACCACCACACCCAGCTGATTTTGTATTTTTAGTAGAGATGGGATTTCACCATGTTGGCCAGGCTGGTCTCAAACTCCTGACCTCAGGTGATCCCCATGCCTTAGCTTCCCAAAAAGTGCTGGGATTACAGAAGAGAGCCACCGCACCCAGCCCAAATTCTTTTATTAATCTGGCTGACAGGATTTCAAATTCAAGCCTTGCAAGTCAATCTTATGTAACAAAAATGTAACGTTTCAAAATGATAATGAGCAAAACCATCTTACCTGGATAATATTGTCTACACTGCTAAACTCTACACACTTCTGTCCTCTCTGGTGATCACAGTAGTATTTGTTTTGTTTCCACTGTGGGGGTGAGTGGGCACAAGATTGTGGATTGTTTGGTACACTGAGCTGCATCATCACCATCCCACCACCAGGTGGCGGTGGTGGCCCAGCTGAAAATCAGAATTAGGATGCTAGTCAGTATATTTTAGCCACTAGTTGGTGTTTCTGAACACTAGGATAACAGTCGTAATTTTACATTTCTGAATAAAATTTTACTATTAACTAAGAAAACCAGGTTGAAGCCCTAGTGCATCATACTACAAGTATTGTGTGTTTAAACAGTTACGATGGACTCTGTAGGCCTAAACATCTCACTTATCCTAAAGATAAGTTGGAGTAAACAACAGCTGGAAGAGTAATGAGAGAAGGCATAGGAAATAACCCTAGAGAATATCAATACTTCTGAGAAAGAAGAATCAGGATGGTAGTGATAGCAGCAGCAGAAGGAAAGAAAGAAGTGGACTGCACATTAACCCTGATTCAGTACAGCACCCTCAATATTGTGGGTGTATCTCACCACATCACAAATTGAGAACCTTTTTGTAGAAATGCCTAAGGAAATTAATCAAACTATTTCTTGTATGAACCAACCATTATCTTATTTTCACTGATTTCTTCATACCTGTACATTGGTGGCCTTGAAGCTGCTGGGAATTGCATGGTGAAGTGGTTCGAGGAAACTGTACTTGTTCTGATCCTGGATGTTGCAGGTAACCTACTGAAGAGCTATGGAAAAAACAAATACAAAACACAGCATAATGAGAGGAGGATGACTATAAAGATTCTTGAATGGGACAGACGTGGTGGCTCACGCCTGTAATCCCAGGACTTTGGAAGCCCGAGGTGGGTGGATCATGAGGTCAAGAGATTGAGATCACCCTGGCTAACACAGTGAAACCCCATCTCTACTAAAAATACAAAAAATTAGCCGGGCGTGGTGGCAGGCGCCTGTAGTCCCAGCTACTCAAGAGGCTGAGGCAGGAGAATGGTGTAAACCCAGGAGGCAGAGCTTGCTGTGAGCCGAGATCGCACCACTGCACTTCAGCCTGGGTAACAGTGCGAGACTCCATCTTAAAAAAAAAAAAAAGATGATGTGAATGAATGGTCCGTTGAACGAACAGTTTATTTGTTAAAATAAACAAATTTATTTATTTATTTTTGAGGTGGAGTCTCGATCTGTCGCCCAGGCTGGAGTGCAGTGGCGTGATCTTGGCTCACTGCAAGCTCCACCTCCCAGGTTCATGCCATTCTCTTGCCTCAGCCTCCCGAGTAGCTGGGAGTACAGGCGCCCACCACCATGCCCGGCTAATTTTTTTGTATTTTTAGTAGAGACGGGGTTTCACTGTGTTAGCCAGGATGGTCTTGATCTGCTGACCTCGTGATCTGCCTGTTTCAGCCTCCCAAAGTGCTGGGATTACAGGCATGAGCCACCATGCCCGGCCACAAATTTATTGAAATAAAATTATTTTTCAAATTGGTTAACAGTAAAAGTAAAATCTAATGCAACTATTTTCTCTGTAAATTTTAAGTAAATACTTTATTGCATAAAAATAACTTTGTTTATGGCAATAACACCGATTTTTAAAAACAAAAATTATTTTTCAAATTGGTTAGCAGTAAAAGTAAAATCTATTTTCTCTGTGAATTATAAGTAATTATTATGCAAAAATCACTGTTTATATCAATGATACTGATTTTTAAAAATGAAGAAAATTATTTTAAATTGGTCAGCAGTAAAAGTCAAATGTAACAACTGTTTTCACTGATAATTATAATTACTTTATTACATAAAAATGATTTTATGTTTATGACAATAATACCGATTTTTAAAAGCCAGGAAAGGCCAGGCGAGGTAGCTCACACCTGTAATCCCAGCACTCTGGGAGGCCGAGGTGGGTAGATCACAAGGTCAGGAGATTGAGACCATTCTGGCTAACATGATGAAAACCCGTCTCTACTAAAAAATATAAAAAATTAGCTGGGTGTGGTGGCGGGCACCTGTAGTCCCAGCCACTCAGGAGGCTGAGACAGGAGAATCACTTGAACCCGGGAGGCAGAGGCTGCAGTGAACTGAGATTGCACCAGTGCACTCCAGCCTGGGCGACAGAGCGAGACTCCGTCTCAAAAACAAAAAAATAAAAAGAACCCAATTCCATCATTCTGTCACTTTTACAGCATATTCTAACTCAAATAATTATTTTGAAACAAAGAAAAATAACTAATTCTACAAAACAAAAAGGTAATATATTTGGTTTTCACAGGGCTACATTTTAGAAAAGAGAATACGCACTTTGACGAGGAGACCCAGAAAAATTTTATTTCTTAGAAAACGGCAAGGCACGGTGGCTCTCCCCTGTAATCCCAGCACTTTAGGAGGCCGATGCGGGCAGATCACCTGAGGCCAGGAGTTCGAGACCAGCCTGGCCAACATGGTGAAACCCCTTCTCTACTAAAAATACAAAAAGTAGCTGGGTGTGGTGGTGGGCACCTGTAATCTCAGCTACTTGGGAGGCTGAGGCGGAGAACTGCTTCAACCTAGGAGGTGGAGGTTGCAGTGAGCCGAGATCACACCGCTGCACTCCAGCCTGGGCTACAAGAGCAAAACTCTGTTTCAAAAAAGAAAAGAAGAAAAAAAAAGTACTAAGAATAGAGGAAACAACAGAACACGTTCCGACATAGTTTAACAAAATATTGACAAAAATTAAAGGCTATTAGTGTGAAACCATTAAGTTACTGCTGTATTTTTGAAGTCCTTTTTTTTGAAATATGAAATACTATGATATGAAGTATGAAAATACTATAATATGAAGTATGAAATACTATGATACCTGGGATTTATTTCAAACTAATATTGGAGGGCGAAAAGGCAGAGATTTATATGAAAACAGATTTGTAATTACAAAATTGGTGATGGGAATATATGGGTTCAATATACTTCTGTTTATATTTATATATGTTTACAGATTTCCATAATAAAAAGTTTAACAATTCTATCTTTCAGGCTGACAGTTAATAAGAATTAGTAAAGCTCTATGCGTTTTTTTTTTTTTTTTTTGAGACGGAGTCTGGCTCTGTTGCCCAGGCTGGAGTGCAGTGGCCGGATCTCAGCTCACTGCAAGCTCCGCCTCCCGGGTTCAGGCCATTCTCCTGCCTCAGCCTCCTGAGTAGCTGGGACTACAGGCGCCTGTCACCTCGCCCAGCTAGTTTTTTTTTTTTGTATTTTTTAGTAGAGACAGGGTTTCACTGTGTTAGCCAGGATGGTCTCGATCTCCTGACCTCGTGATCCACCCGTCTCGGCCTCCCAAAGTGCTGGGATTACAGGCCTGAGCCACCGCGCCCGGCCTTTTTTTTTTTTTTTTTTTTTGAGACGGAGTCTGGCTCTGTCGCCCAGGCTGGAGTGCAGTGGCGCGATCTCGGTTTACTGCAAGCTGCGCCTCCTGGGTTCATGCCATTCTCCTGCCTCAGCCTCCCAAGTAGCTGGGACTACAGGCACCCACCACCAGGTCTGGCTAACTTTTTGTATTTTTTTTTTTTTTTTTTAGTAGAGACGGGGTTTCACTATGTCAGCCAGGATGTTCTCGATATCCTGACCTCATGATCTGCCCACTTTGGCCTCCCAAAGTGCTGGGATTACAGGCGCGAGCCACCGCGCCTAGCCAGCTCTATGTGTTTTTAGGGGCAGTAACTCAGAGTGGTTCAATAAAAGGGAAAAAGAAAGAGATATAAACGGAGGATTTAATAGGAAGTGATTTTGGATGGTAAGTGAAAACAGTACTTTCTGAAATTTATGTTAATTATGATTGGAATGTGTAATATAAGTATTAGCTACCTGTGGAAATAATACAGCTTAAGAGATGGTCTGTAAATGTGCCGAAATTGAGGAAAACAGAAAGGTCCCCATAGGTGGAAGGTTTTTTAGGCTCTGTTCTAACCCATGTGAACAGCTCTCCTGGGCCATGCCCCTCACTCTGATCTTGTTCGCTAAGGTCTGAGACATGTGGGTAAAAGCAAGCCATCATGCAAAGGGAAGGGAACACTCAGGTCACTGAGGTGAGCAATATAGCCCATACTCTACTAAACTACAAACTGCGATTCCACTTTACCACTCTAGTGGGTTTTAGTACAGTTAGAATAAAACAGGTTTCTAGCACTAGATTACCCGTTAGGTAAATGAGTAAGAATCAAGTTTTAGAATTATGTAAATGAGTTCCAGGCCTCTACTAATCTTCTGAGAGATATGTAGATAATTTAAGGGACACACAGACTAGGCAATGAGACACCCTCTTAAATCACTTAAACACGTTAGAAAAAAGAAAGCATATAAGTCAGTATTTACACTCTCTCTTTAAAAATACAAATTATACGAGAGATGAATCAGCTCTGTAGTAATTTCAAAACTTTCTCCTCCTTTGGAAGACAGGAGGGAAAGACGGGGACTTTTAAAGTAAAGCACCAGGCCTAGTCATTCAAAGTTGATATTCTACCCTTTAACAGAAAAATGAAACATCAATCTCAAATAATCCCATTTATTCCCAAACTTCCTGAAAAGTCCTGACATAAAACTATGAATATGTAAACTAAAAAAATAAAAATATCCACTTTCAAATGTATTAAAGCTGCTGCAATAAAAATTACTACCAGTATTTTTTCCTAGCTGTTTAGGAGCTGCCTCGTCTCTGCGTAAGGTGGAGCCAGGCAAACTGCTGTGAAATGCTTCTACAAGATCACTGGAGACTGATGAATGACATTACAGGATATCCCACAGGTTTCTTCTGAGTTTTTTTTTTTCTTTCTTGAGATGGAGTTTTGCTCTGTCACCCACGCTGGAGTGCAGGGGTGCGATCTCAGCTCACCGCAAGCTCTGCCTCCCGGGTTCACACCATTCTCCTGCCTCAGCCACTCGAGTAGCTGGGACTACAGGTGCCCGCCACTATGCCCGGCTAATTTTTTTGTGTTTTTAGTAGAGAAGGAGTTTCACCGTATTAGCCAGGATGGTCTTGATCTCCTGACCTCATGATCCGCCTGCCTTGGCCTGCCAAAGTGCTGGGATTACAGGCGTGAGCCACCGCGCCCAGCCCTTCTTCTGAGTTTTTTTTTTACAGTGCTCATATTATTCCTTTAACATTATAGGGTAATTCAGAGAGATTCCCCTTCTCTCCAGTTAATTATTTCTTCATTCTTACCATGTTTTGGAATTGAAGCCATGATAAAAAAAAAATGACAAATATAATGTATTTTGAAAGTTAGAAACTTACTTCATCAAAGTGTGATTTAATTTATTTTATTATTGTTTTTAAATAGACAAAGCCTCACTCTATTCCTCAGGCTGGAATGCAGTGGTGTTATCATAGGTTACTGAAGCACTGAACACTTGGGCTCAAGTGATTCTCCTGCCTCAGCTTCCCGAGTAGCTAACTACAAGCGCCCACCATTGCTTAGTATCAAGCAATATCAATGCTTGATATTAAGATATATTCACTAGATCTTGCAAATTCAAGTGACAATACATTGCTATTTTAATGCCTTTGACATTTAATACTTGACCTAGGGCAAAGCGTCATGTATTTGGGTGTCAGAAGGGAGCACGGGGCTGAATTCCAACTCTCCTTGTTATTTGTTATGTGTGTCTGAACATGTTATTTGAACTTCAGCTCTTTCATCAATAAACATGCAATTAGCACTTGTCTTACCAAACTATGATGAAAGATTTGGGCAAATAATTCAAA